CAGTGCCCAGGCCGAGTTCAGGCCCATGACCGGACCCCAAAAAAAAAAATAGTATGCAACAGCATTAAATACATTCAATATCGTGCAGCCATCATCACTATGCATTTCTAGAACATTTTCATTAATCCAAATAAGATCTTTACCCACTAAACAGTAATTCCTGTGTTCCCCAGTTCTTGGTAACCTGCTTCCCATGTTCTGAAAAAAATGAGTTGTTTTAACTGTGTCTAAAAGAAGTTTATTGTTCTTTCTTATTGTATATAGCAAATCTGTCAAAAGTAAGAAATGTCCTAATGAAGAGACTTCTAACCCTTTTTGACGATTTTTTTTTGGGTGGGGGTGGCAATCCTGAGTTTTGAACTCAGGGCCTAGGCACTGTCCCTGAGCTTCTTTTGCTCGAGGCTAGCACTCTATCACTTGAGCCACAGCTCCACTTCCAGCTTTCTCTGTTTATGTGGTACTAGGGGATTGAATCCAGGGCTTCATGCATGCTAGGCAAGAATTCTATCACTAAGCCACGTTACCAGCCCTGACCACTTTGTTAAAGGGAAAGATGGAAATCAGATTTATCTTTCTTGCTGATTCCCACTCTCCTTGGCCTGATTAACTTTTTCCTTCCTGCTTAAAACAGTGGTTCTAGCAGGTGCCAGTGGCTCACACCTGTAATCCTAGCTACTCAGGAGGCTGAGATCTGAGAATCATTGTTCAAAGCCAGCCTGGGCAAGAAAGTCCATGAGACTCTTATCTCCAATTACCCAACAGAAAATTGGAAGTGGTGCTGTGGCTCAAGTGGTAGAGCACTAGCCCAGAGTTCAAGCCTCATGAATGACAAACAAACAAACAAACAACAGCAAAACCCAGTGGTTCTCCAATTTGATGTAGTACTTAAATCTCCTGGGCAGCTTGTTAAACTTACAAATTTATTTATTTATTTATTTTTCCAGTCCTGGGGCTTGAACTCTGGGCCTGGCCACAGCAGCACCACTTCCAGCTTTTTTTTTTTTTTTTTTTTTGTCGGTCATGGAGCTTGAACTCTGGGTCTGGGCACTGTCCCTAGCTTTTCAGCTCAAGGCTAGCGCTCTACCACTTCAGCCAGAGCACCACTTCTGGTTTTGTAGTGGTTAACTGGAGATAAGAGTCTCACAGACTTTTCTGCCTGGGCTGGCTTTGAACCATGATCCTCAAATCTAAGCCTGCTGAGTAGCTAGGATTACAGAGGTAAGCCACTGGCGCTCTGCAATTTCCAGCTTTTTCTGAGTAGTTTATTGGAGATAAGAGTCTCACAGACTTTCCTGCTCAGATTGGCATTTAACCACGATCCTCAGATCTCAGCCAACGAAATAGCTAAGGTTACAGATATGATCCACTGGCACCTGGCACAGACTCACAGAATGTTTAGGTAACTCTCCTTATAGTTCTGATTCAGAAGTTCTGGGTAAGGCCCTGGACATCCTCCTCTTTAGAAAGTTTCTCCCACCCCATGCTGGGAGATGCAGGCCAGGGTTTGAGAACCATTGCCTTCAAGATTCCAATGGGCATCTCTCAGAACACCTGTCTAACCAAGCCAGTTGGTTGAGTACACCCATAACCATCATAAACCAATAAAGTTGAGGGCCTGAGGACCTATAGTTATTGTCTCTAGAACCACAGTGTAGTGTCTAGAACAGACAGATAGAAGAGGTAAAGGAAGTGCCTGGAGTAGGGACATAGGAATTTTTGCTGATACCTTCCTCTAGATCTGCGGTGATCCAAGGTCTAAGCAAAGAATTTATGCTCGAAAGCAGGAACTCTATGAGAAGGTAGGGCTACTCTGCCTAGAAGTGCAATGAAGGAGGAGCCTACTAAGCAGTCAGGGCCAAGGAATCATCCTATGTCTTTAGGAAGTATTTTTAGCTTTGGGTTCCTTAGGACCAACCGGCCCCTCCCTTCTCCTAATTATGTCTCAATTAATTGCATATATCCTCCTCGAGCCTCAGTCTTCTTCTCTATAAAATGTGCCTCCAATGCCCTACCCACTCGAGTGGGTTGAGGGAGTCAATGGGAAAAGCCCCTTGTAAACTATAAACTGCTTTCATAAAGGCAGTTTGTAGTGTTGATTATAAGGTGTATTGGTTCTGGTATTATTGTGTAACTATTACTATAGTACCAACATCTAATTTGCCCCACTGCTTGTAAATACAGTATGTATTGTTTAGAAGGTCATCACTTTGAAGCTGGACTCCTGTGGCTCATGCCTGGAATCCTAGTTACTCAAGAGGCTAGGATCTGAGCCAGCCTGGGTAGGAAAGTCTATGATTCTCTTATCTCCAATTAACCACCAAAAATCCAGAAGTGGAGTTGTGGCTCAAGTGGTCAAGTGCCACCTTTAGTGAAAAAACTAAGGGACAGTGCCCTGGTGCTTAGTTCAAGCCCCAGTACTGAAAAAAAAAAAAAGGAAGAGGAAGACAAAGAGGAAAAGGAAGAGGAAGAACCAGAAGAAAAAACACAAGCAGAAGAAGCAGAAGGCGGCTGGGAAGTGGTGGAGTGCTTGTCAAGTGCTTACATGAAGCCCTGGGTTTGATTCCTCAGTACCACGTACACAGAGAAAGCTAGAAGTGGTGCTGTGGCTCAAGTGCTAAAGTGGTAGAGTAGCCTTGAGCAAAAGAAGCTCAGGGACAGTGCCCAGGCCCTGAGTTCAAGCCCCAGGACTCACAAAAAAAAAAAAAAAGAAGGAGAAGGAGGAGGAGGAAGAAGAGGAGGAGGAGGAGGAAGAAGAGCAAGAAGAAAAGTAGGATAGTGACCAAGCCCAGAGTTCAAGCCCCACGACCGAAAAAGAAAAAAAAAAAAAAAGAGGGAAGGTGGCTCAGTGGTAGAGTGCTTGCCTTGCATGCATGAGGCCCTGGGTTGAATTCCTCAGCACTACATAAGCAAAAAGAAAAAAAGCAGGAAGTGGCACTGTGGCTCAAGCGGTAGAGCGCTAGCCTTGAGCTGAAGAGCTCAGGGACAGCGCCCAGGCCCAGAGTTCAAGCCCCACGACTGACAAAAAAAGAAAAGAAAAGAAGTGTGTCACTTTGTGAGATGTGTGTCCTATTGTATTGTTTGACAAAGAAAGTAATGGAGATGTAGTAAATGTACATTCACATTTTTAAGCTACATCTTTTCTCTCTGGGCATTTTGCCATTTTTCTCTCATAAATCCAAGACCCCTAGTTTGACCTCTTCTTTCCCTCACTTCGATCCTTTCCTCCTTCCACAGCTACAGAAAACTGATCCTGACTCAATCAAATAAATTTAAAAGGTGGCCCCAGTGGAGAATCAAAGAACTTCCCTAAATTTCCACGGTTTGGCCAGAAAACAAGTTCCTCTTGAGTAAATATAGGTTTGCTCTTGTTTCTTTTCTCTGTGTTTCAGACAACCAGAATGTCAATAATTTACTCTAAGACAGCATGGGGCCTGGGAGTGTCTGTTTACGTGTGTGCTCACAAGACAGTGGTCTGGAATGAGTTGGTGTTCCTCCTTATCAGGTGCAGCCAAGGGGCGCCTGTGAGGGTGCA